GTAGCCCCCACTCCTGGTCCCAGCACCAAGCGAAGTAGCTCGGTGGAGCTCATCGGTGGCACAGTACCACCTCCGGCCCGCGACTCAGTGGATTGGAATCTTGTAGATGCTAGTAAAATTAGGAAAAGATGGAAAGGTAAGTTATATATATTTAAAAAAAAAATTGTGTTGTTAAAGCACAGGACTGAAGTAAATCTGAAGGCACTAGTAGTCAAAAGAAACAATGATAACTGTATCCATGCACAATATTGTAAATTTATGATATTTTTAGCACCATCTGAGTATATTAATATTACAAATAAACATTCTTATCAATATGGCAGAGTACATTGTATTTATAACATTGAAATAATAATGGAAAATATTGGAATGTTATTGCTTAATTATTTTCTAAAATGATAATTGCAGAATTGTTTTCTGATTGATTTATCACTAAAGGTCTATCTCAACTTTGCTCCTGTAGTAGAAAATATATCTATAATTAAATATACTATTACTATACCCATTTGGAACTACAAAAATAATTATTCAAACTCGAAAGTTATATTTATTTGTGCAAAATCGATATTTACCATTATCTTGATATATTTTTAATAGATTATAAAATTCTTTATTCAAATAAACTTACATTTAAGCACTTTTGAATAGTCATATTCATTATTTTTTTAATCTACCACTGATTTGGATAGCTGTCTCTTCAAAAGAAGAAAGAGAAGAAACTTGTGTGTGGCTCTTTTAAATAATTGTTTTCATAACGGATGAGCAAGCCATCACCATGCTCAACCATACTTTAGGGAACTCATTGACCTGACCCACCAGATGTAATACATCTGGACATTTTAATAAAAAGAAACCTATATTTCATATTTAATGTTTTCATAATGGATTAGCCAGCCATCACTGTGCTCAACCATATTTTAGGGGATGCAAAGACCTGCCTACCATGCTGCCACATATCAGGACATATTTAATAAGTAAAACTATGAATAATGTTTTTATGACTGCCAGTCAGTTACACCACCATGGCAAATGCACCAGAAATTGACCAGGATGGTTTTCTGGAGAACACACAGTAGATATGAACCTGATGGGTACATTACAAGCAATTATTAGTAATGGGGTCATTAGTCTTCCTTACCATCAATCCTCATCCCACCATTACATATATCTGTAGATAATATGAATGTAATTGTTATTAATAATTCTAGTCATTTAGTCTTTCTTTATTGTTTATTGTACACACACAGGAAAAAAAAATAGCAGTAATAAAATAAAAGTAATGTACAAGGGCTAGCTTATCTCTAAAAAGATTATCAGGAATATTATATAAATATACAAGATTAGTATGTATGGGGTACACTGTTTTTTATACAGCAATGGTGTCAATCAAGCATACGCACCGATCTGATGGTTACTATAGCCTATAGACGCCTGAAACACCAGCGATGTCACGTGCGCGTTGCCCACCCTTAAGATACCTACCCTTCTTGAAAAACCCCATACTTTAGTCTCTCGAGAATACCTCGTCAAGTAGTTTATTCCAGAAATCTAAGTGTACGCGGAAAAAAAATGTATTTAACTATATGAATAAACAAATAATCATTTGGCCTGATTGCAGTTGCTATCAAAGAAAATTCTGGTGTGTAATAAATGTTCATTTTGATATTTTTGAAAATTGGCGATCGAAATTACAACTCAGGCGAGTCAAGATTCAAACCTCTAGATGGTTCGGTGCCCTCAGACTATAGTCGTATCTGTAAGGCGGGAGTTGGCCTTCAGCCGCTCCATAAGTCCTTCTTTTGGTTTGGAGTGCTATCTGCACTCGCCCCCTATCGTTTAGTAACGCTGCAAAGGCCAGTTGTGGCCAACAGCATTAGAATAGTTTGAAAAAAGAATCTGTGGATATATGTCAATATGGCGGCGAGATGTTATTCCAAAAATTTATTTTGACTTCCAAATCTCGGCTGAATGTGGGCCTGTTAATTGTTGCGTTCACCACAACATCGACATGACAATACCTCTATTTGACTACCTCATCTGGGATGGGATGGGAGTCGTGACAGTATGTTTTTTTAAGTAATAATAGATTAATGTATATTATTTCTGTGACACGCAAGTTTCTTGCTGATTCTTGTGACGAGTTTGCGTTCCGAATCATTGGTAGAATAAAAAAATATGACTATTCAAAAGTTCTTATATTAAGTTTATATGGATGAAGAATATTCCTATTTCTATTTCTTTACTCACGGCCTTTCGAACCAGGGACATATAAAGCCTGTATGGGAAATAATTGTCTACATGGTTAAACCCGAAACCTAATAAAGGTGAATAAATATTTATTCATATAAGAGTTTTTGACATCTTTATTTGGTAGTGATTTTTGTCACTATTGGGATTCATTCCTATTGAATTACGCCAACTGATTACATTCACTTTTCACTAAGGTCCCGTGAATGATCAGATAGGATCAGGAATCCGTTATCTATAAAAAAATTGTTACAAAAACTTGCTTGTCTATTTTCTTTGGTTATCAGAAAACAGTGGCCTGTATTTATGGTAATATAAGTTGCTTTTGTTTTATCAATATAATAGGGCCTTGAATTAAACCGCGATAAACGATCCTATCAGTTTATGGTGGGCTACCATTGGTTGTATGTATACAATTATATTATTTATTAACATTAAGTACTACTATTTTATTTTAAAACGCACAAAATACCCTTTGAGAGATACGAAGCTACTTAAAATAAAGTTCCTACTCAATTTTACTTCAAATGTATTTTTTATACAATTTTTTAATAGTGCACCCGCCTGCCCTAACGGTATGCTATGCGTTCGCGGCGCACCAGTAGAGAATGATAGGATGAGCATGAAGTCTGGTATGTGAGCTCATATTATGGTCAATTGTCAATGAATTTAATTTATATTTTATATAAGTATGTTATATATAACATTGAGTCAATTCCCTATCACAAACAAACCCAATGAGGATGGGTTTGTTCATAGTCGAATAAGTTAATATTTCCATCAGAAATCGCATAAAGTTATGCATATTAATTTTGTGAGATAACAATTCTGTTATCAATAATACATAGTAGAAGGATGACCTTTTTCTAGAAATATTGCCGGGTCACTACCCCAATGACTTTGCGGTCAACATTGTAATTTGACGGTGTGTACGTACGTATATATAGATATACATATATATATACTTTGTTTACTATGTTGATATAATGATACACATATGTCGTGACTAAATCGTAGAAATTGATACTAACGCGAAGTAGACGGCCATTTGGTGTAATGATTGCGTTTTATAAAATGTCATATTGTTTTCTAAACATATTAGTAGTAGTAGAGTTTTTAAAAATATATCAAAAGAAATTTTGCTGAACTTATTACATTTATTGAAAATACATGAAAGAAAAGGGTGTAACATCAATTTCTTAACAATTCTCCTTAACTGATTGTATATAGTTCTCAGTATTGAGTGGACGGGACTAGACGTAGAGGGAACGAGATGGGAATAATAATTTAAAAAAAATTACGTACTTAGGTGGCCAAAAATTGCACATAAATAAAATTATTATGATTTTGAATGGCAAATTAACATTATGGTATAATTGAGCTGGTACAAGACCAGGTACGGTAACCATTAACCATTAGATGGGCCGCATGCTTGTTTGCCACCATCATATAAAAAAGCTAGCCATGACGTATGATCACGTTATCCCTAAGGCATTTCATATCTGGAGGACTAAGATGTCACGCCTGTAATTTTACTGCCTTATCTCACCCAACAATCGAAAGCATACAGCTTATATAAATCCAGCTGTTTTTACAACGTCGACGCTAACGCTGTCTCCCACTGATCTCACCTCATGTTCATCTTATCATCCTCCATTGGTGCCCCGCCAGCAAACCGTAAGCGCAGGCAGGTGCACCATTCCATTATCATCCATAAAAAAACGTAGTCTCCCTTTTACAAAGTCTACTTTGACTAGTTTACAAAACAATTTGCTAGGCGGCTGATATAGGTGACTTTTTACGACTTCTAAATCTACCTCGGCTACCTAAAAAGCTTGTTTTTAAATATTGTCATTGTCATTCAACGTATGCCAAAAGTTTTTTTTTAGGATACAGAGCCATCAAACGTTCTCACGAGTCATTCATTATGATGCTAAATGTAAAAGACGGTAATTATTTCACATTCCGCTTTTGAGTGATTACTCTCAATTTCGGTAAGGTTAAACGAGTCGACAATACCACTAGAACAAAAGAGGTGCAATTAAAAGATCAATATACCTTGTACGTGACTACTTTTGTTCCCTAATACCCGTAGCTTTGTTTAACAAAGCTGTAATTACGATTTCGGGGGTAGTCATGGAATATTAAGTAATAATTAATAAGGCTACTAGACAAAAAAACAAAAAAAAAGCCAAGAATACGATTACAATTTACCGATTGTTTAATCAAATAAATTAAAAACTTCTTTATTCAAATAAACATGAATGTATGCACTTTTGAATAGACATTATTTATTTAATCTACCGCTCATTCGGAAAGCTATCTCATCACAAGAAGAATGAGTAAGAAACTTGCGTGTTGTTCATTTAAATAATTATTGTAACTTTACATATTATGTTCAAATGTGTGAATACAGACTACCAACTAGGACAAATTCACTCATTAACTGTTTGTACAACATCATAGTTAAAATGTGTGAACTATAAACTAGTAAATAGGAAATAAGAGTCAGACATATAAGAGTATTTCTATGTTGCCATTTCTTTAAAATGAAACCCCGCGTCGAACACAGTTAATTATTGCAAAAATTAGCAGTTTACCCTGGCTGTCTGCGTGGAGACCGTTACATCCTGTCGGAATCGCAAATAATAGTTCACGCGTTCAAGCATAAAGACAGAAGTACTATAATCTAATTTAATTATGCAATTAACATGTTAATGTATAATAATTAAACAAATATTTCTCTTTTACAGTTAACCTTAACGGCGCTTCTAAAGTGGACATATCACATTTCGATTTGCTCAAAGTCCTCGGCACCGGAGGTGAGTTTATCAATATTTAATTTATTTAAAAATAAGTTGTTACAATAAAATTGAAGAGAACATAAACAAACTAGATTTTACCAGTTAGTCAGTGTTTATGGTATAACAAAAATTATCACAAACACTTACTAAAAGATAATTGTGAACATTATCTGAATTTTGAATTATTTTTACCGCATATATATTATATACTAAGTTGAAGAGGAAAGGCTGCTACTCATCCTTTGTAATTGTAGTCCAGTCAGGCATAAACGAAATATTTCCTTTGAAAAGTACTCATTCTTTCCTGAGGAGATAAAAACTATCGCTCTTAAGAATATCCTTTAATTCATGTCCCTGACGGACCTAAATAGCGAACTCTGGAAAAGAGCGAGCACGGTAGACTTCGTTATACCGCTTATGCGGAAAGAAGAATTATTAAGATTGGAATTGTTAAGAAGAATTATAATATTTATGATTGACAATTAACAGACGTGGCAATGGCTAAATTTATCTACTTTATTTGTTTCTATAGTATTATGTTGTATGGTATCTATTTTGTAATGGGGGTACAATATTGAAACCTTCAAGAAAAGGGATTATTCCTTTTTAAAAGGCTGGTAACGCACTTGCAATTCCCTGGTGTCGTGGGTGTTCATGGGGGGCGGTAATCACTTAACTTCAGGTGAGCCATTTGTTCCCTATGTTGTAGAAAAATTGTATCACTAGAAATATATATAAATATATAGACTTTGTACAGTAGTCCGCATAGGTTTTTTAAATTGATGATAATGGAATGGTGCACCTGCCTATGCTAACGGTTTACGCTGGCGGGGCACCACTAGAGGCTGATAAGATGAGTATAAGGTCAGTTCAGTTTGCCAGTCATGATTAAATAACCAGGTTAACCTCTATGGTTTCCAGGGTGCACCGCATGGACGTCGATCTAACATGGTACATTGCTAGAAATGGGTACGCTAGACCCCATTACTAAAAATCCCTTCCCCTCCGTCCGCATAGGTTTAAACTTGACTTTATATTTGCCGCCTAAGGTCTTATACTGAGCTTACCGTGTGCCCTCGTAGCGCTGTATGCATCGTATGGTCACAGATGTCATTGACCCTTCACAGCTGGTGCACGTGGGGTGATTAGACATGTTTTAATTCATTGTTAACTGCACCGGTTGTGCAAATTATTTCTTTTGAACTTCTTATACTTATCATAGCAGTTACAGAAAGTAATAATTGTTCAAGACGTTATATCGCACATGTAGTAGAATAATGGTTTAACTTAATTTCAATTTTATTAAATTAGATTTTAAAGTTAAATATTTGAGATTTTCCAATGTTTGTAATTTCTTTTAATCCAGTATTTTTTTAATGGATGATAATGGAGTGGTGCATCCGTCATCATGGCTTGGAATCAGTGGAGGATGATAGGTAGAGCATGTGGTCATTTACCCCATCGTTTCAAACACTAGGAATTTATTATGATGGTTTCCGCAATGGGGTCATCAGTTCATGTTACTAACAATCCCCTTTTCCCCCTATTAATACAGTATTGTATATTCTGCATTTTCATATATGGTAATGATACAACTGTATTGGATTGTGTGGATTAGTTAATTTTACTTGAGGTTTACATTTCTTACACCTATTTTAGGTTCAGCTGTTAATTTCTACATTAACCGTCCATTGCATGGCGTGTGCCAGAAATCAGCATTGAGTTGAGTAGTTTGTTTGAAATTGAGATTATAAAGAAAAATCTGTCCCCTAACATTCAGATTGGCCGTATGCTTGATTGAAACCATTGTGGTATAAAAAAAATTTGAGTGTAATTCAGATTTCAGATTTATTTATTTGTCATATAAATAGGTTACATTTAACTCTTCAGTTACAAAATTAAAAGTCAATAGTAAACATTAACATTAAGGTAAATTTAAATTTGACTTTCACATGTATTTATTAGTGTGATACAATGGATTAATTACAAAAAAATACTTTAACGTTCTTCTAAATTTCAAACTTGGTAAATCGGATATTTCTTTTGGCTATAATATAGCTTTCAAGTAAGTTTTTAAGTATGCAGTGAGACCATGCAATAAATGCAATGTATGGTCAATGGTCAAGCCACGCAATGGTGCCAGTGACCTCATAGAACATGTGCTCCCTCATTAGTTTTAATTTACATTGCTCTATAAGTGGCGCTTTTTTACTCTGCAGTTAGTACACGGGGAGTAAGTAATAGAGACGAAGAGTATAATGTTGGAATAGTTTTTTTTAATATTATCTGAAGTCGTTTAAATGAAGTAGAAGTGGGGTACAATGTTGCCATCTATTGTCAATATGCTATATTAGCTTCACTAGAGGCAGACTTTGTATAAATCCTCTAGCTCTTTCTAGCCTATTTCAATGCTAAAATATTACGATGTCGCGGCACCAGTGGAGGAAAATGAGCATGAGGTTAGGCCAGTTAGTCTATAGTGGCAAAGTTACCAGGAAATTATCACGCTAGTTACCAGGGGGAACCGCGTATAGATCAACGTGACATGGCACATTGCTAGAAATAGGGTTATTAATTCACATTACTAAGTGTCCCCTCTCCCCCATGCAGATTAGTTGCACGGTCTAACTAGTGTTGTATAACAGGTGGCTGCTTTAGTTAGTAATTTATTTACGTTCCCTTCATTGGATAGAGAAAGATTAATTGAATATCGACATAATTTGGTATTTTCCGTAACCTGGTTATTTTTAGCTACGTATTTATAGAGTTATCAAAGAATCAGTGTTTCCGAAAATACTTTATTGAAATTGAAATAGACTTGCAAATACCAGTTATAGTAATTTCTATAACTTCTAAACAACGTTAGCTTTAATAATAAAATGACTAGATCCACCTGATTTTGCACGAACGGTTATGAAGATTTTCTAGTACAGATTCTGTTCTTTTAGCTGCTTTTATATTTTTCTTCTCGTTATGTCTACTTTTTGACCTTATGAGAAATGCCTTATCAAAATCCATTATATGGTTTAGAACAGAGGTTCTCAACCAAGATGACCGCTGTCATTTTGGGAATCACTGGTTTAGAAGAAGTAAACAGAGAAACAGACGTAATAATAAAAATAATTTAATTATTTATTTGCTTGTACAATTTTGAATAATAAGTGTACATGACATTGGGTCTCTCAAATCAAATTGAATAGAAGGCGATATGCAGGCATATTGAGCTTGCATATAACTTAAAAAGGACAATATTTATTACAACGTTTTATCATTTTTCGCATTAAAAAGTGCCCTTATGTCCTGTCTCAGGGACTAGAATATCAGTTTACTAAATTTAATTTAAATCTGTTCAATAGTTTTGCCGTGAAAGTGAGACAGACAGACAGTTACTATTGCATTTATAATATTAATAAGGATGTGTTGTTCTGATGTATAGAATTGTGGGCGGGTAGCTAGCTATATATATGTCAATATATCATAAAACGATAACTTTGATTTACACAATTTAAAGATAAGAAGGTACAGTTCAGTGACGTTGGTTGCAGGCGCATGTAACATAACTGCAGTAATTGTAAAAAGTGCGGAAGTTATAGCGGTTTTAAGTGCAGTCGACTACAGATAGGGTTGTCAGCTCTCTTATTATCACTCGGATATTAATTTGGGTTTACATAAAAATAATTGAAATGGCATCAAGTGATTAAGTGATACCACTCATGCATTGCCATTTCGGAGAACTAAGATGTCATGTGCACAAAAAAATGTCATGTGCACTATGTGGTTGTATAGTTGGATAAACCACTCAAGCATAAACGTAATATCTCCTTTGGAAAGTCTACCGTCTATGTATCTATGTGGGTCGCAGTGCTACAGTTCCAAGCATTTGACAATAGCCCAAACAACCCAATAAAAAAAAAACAACGCAAACTTCTACCATGTAATTTTATGCCACTGATCATGAAAGCAAATTTGTGTATATTCTAATTGACTAATAAAGTGACAAATACGTAGTAATTGCAGATAAACACTGTGCGCTTAATTAAGTGCATTAATTAACAAAAATACTTTGTGAAATATACCTTAATGGTTAAACCTTAAAGTACATTTTTCAAATTCGTTTTTCTATACTAATATTATGAAAGTTAAAGTTTTTGAGTTTTGTATGCTCGGAATAATTTTCGGTAATACGGACCCGATTTTGTTTACGTTTACGGACCGAATATCTTATTGTTAGAGAGCCCATTTGTCGAGGAAGGCTGTAGTGTGTATAACATTACGCTACGACCAATAGAACCGGAGCTGCATTGAAAAAATGTTGGTATGGAGAAAGTGTGACACTGACGAAGTTGTTTATATAATTTAGATACCTTTTAGATTATTAGATATTAAAGTAAAGTAAAGTAAATATTAAAGTATAAATAATTATTTAGACTTTAATGATTTAACTGTAAGGTCTATTTTTCCAAATTGTTTTACACAAAACATACCTGTTGTTTTGTATGTGCGACGTTAGAATTGCATTAACGAGCGTGTGACCTGTTGATTCTCAAACGCGTGCAATATTAGGATGCCACGACATAAGTCTATCGTACGTCGTAGTTACTCGCATAGTACGATACATACATAAATCTGTGACGTGAACAGTTACGTAGTATATGTGTAATGTTACGCAAAACTTGCCATTCAATGAATCCGCATCGATAAAAGTATTATCTGTGAAATTAATACAGTTAAGGCAATATTCATATTTGTATACGTCATTCCTTGTTTATCAGACTCTATTTGCGTTCGTAAATCTTATGCGTCATAGCTGGGTTATGTTATTACGAAGTTATATAATATTGTTAGTTTCACTTAATGTACTGGTGTTTTAATGTTTGAATATGGAATGGTGCTATATCTTTTTTATCGTGTGGTAAATGTTTAAAGGATCGCCCCAAAAACCCAAAATCCCAGACACCCTTTCGCCACAGGAGTGACGAGGGGGAGTGTGATATTACACACATCTGTATAGATGATAC